AGAGCTAGCTTAGGCTGTATGCTGTGGTTGACACAGAAGCAACACCTGACTTGAGGAGCTGCGATTAGCAAGCAGAAAACTCAAGTCTGGGGTATGAAAAGACCGTGATGGAGATCTTCCTCACTGGTCCTTTGACAGCTCAGCAAATGCAAGGTGTCAAAAAGCTCAGCTGTGGGTTCTGAACTCCTTCACGATCATTTCATGACCTTTGGAGGCTCCCCTACTCCCTACGGAAAAGGGTTTCTTGCCCACTTTGGAATAAAAACTTAATAACTTTGAAATGTTTTCCAGTCCTCTCCAAACAAAGAAAGAGCTTTTCCCCCACATGACCAAAGGTGTTTGGGGATTTCTTTTCACAGGCCATGTTTTGAAATGCTGCTAAATATTAAGTTTGGGATAAGATTATTGGACCCAGTGGATTGAAATCTCACTGTGCATGCTGATGTGTTTGAGAATTTGCTATTGTGGGTGGCTTCAGACACGAGCTGACCTTAAGGTTGTCTCTTCCTAGAGGTTTCTGTGTGAGCTGTTTTTCTGTAAAGTGTGTGTGTGTGTGTGTGTGTGTGTGTGTGTGTGTGTGTGTGTGTGTGTGTATTGGGATTGTGTCTATACAGAGTGAGTGCTCTAGAGGTTCTCCTTTATCAAACAGACCCATGGCTGAAAGCCATTGCAGTTTCCAAGTGACTTTCATTTCTAAAACACACACACACACACACACATACACACACACACACACACACACACATACACACACACACACACACACACACACACACACACACACACACACACACACACACACCAGCTCTTCTCTATACTTTTTCCCCCCTGAGACAGAGTTTCTCTGCGTAGCTTTAGCTGTCCTGGAACTCGCTCTGTAGACCAGGCTGGCCTCGAACTCAGAAATCCATCTGTCTCTGCCTCCCGAGTGCTAGGATTAAAGGTGTGCACCACCACTGCTGGTTTCTCCAGACTTCTTAAAACTTGATCATACAAGAATCTCTCCAAGTGACCAGTGTAATTCCAAGTCACATTTCCATGAAAATGAAACCTAAAACCTTCTGGTGTACAAGTCTATCTTAAAGTAACTGAGCTCAGAGGTGGTCTAAAGAAGTGACCACAGGATATATACATATTATGGCCAAATGTGTCTCAAACTGGGACTGTAAAAAATGTTTATTTAACAGAGGATTCCAGGACAGGAGGTCCGGTGTCCACTTTTGGGACATGTCTCTTACATCACAACAAGGAGATGTAGGCATCTGACCAAACTGAGGCACCCTAAGGCTTTTTCAGTCTTAACTCTGTCTCAGACACTGAGCTGGGTACAGGTCATTGGTTTATTTGCTCATTTAATCAAACATTCTTTTGAGAGGAGGTCTCATGTATTTCAGGATGACTAGAATCTTTGATGTAGCAAGGACGACCTTGTACTTCTGATCCTACCGCTTCTGCTGCTTGAACGCCGAATTTCCCGGCATGCACCACTCTGCCTGGCTTTGTGCAGTGCTGGGGATGAACTCAGGACTTCATGCATGCTAAGCACACACTCCTCCAACAACTGAGCTACAAGCCCAGCCCAGTCTTTCTATTTCAACTCCATCAGATTCCATCCAGTGTCACTCGGTTAAATTTTTAGAAGAACCGGAATGAAATTGGATATGAGCCAACTTTTTTATAACCCAGTGTTCCTTAAGTGGCTGTGATGACTGCCAGTCAGCACCAGTGGGGAGTGAACCAGTGAGTGACAGTCTCAGTTTGTGGGACTCAGCCTCAGCTCCACTTGATGTTGGACTTGCAGGGTTTTTCAAATGATATCAAAACATTATTTTTTTATGTTGATTTTCTTTGTATAAATTGTTGGTGACAAATTTAGACTTACAAGAAGCACAGCCACTGGGCCATGAGTTATCAGTTTATAATCCTGATCTTAGCCTTGAGAACTTGTGTAAGTCTGGAGATGGAAGAGACCTTTGCTTATCACTGGAGGAGAAGAGAGTGAGCAAGATATGTGGTGGGAGTCCCGACCGTGTTCTCAATTCTGCGATGGACAGGCTCTGAGATCTTAAGTATTTAACTTTACCTCTGAGCTAGGAATGCTTTATCTGAAAGGGAAAACAAGGTTAATAGTGAGTGTCTTCTCCACAGAACCATCGCAAGCTTCAGGAGGTGCTGCTGTGAGATTCCACTCGTCTGTTTCTGAGACAGAGTCTGGTTGTGTAGCTCAGGGTAACTTCAAAGTCTCCTTTGCAGAAGGGATATATTTTATTTTCATTTATGTGTGTGTCTACGTTTGTTTGTGTGTGTGTATGTTTGTGAATATGTATGTGTATGTGTGTGTATGTTTGTGAATGTGTATGTATGTATGTGCATGTGTGTGTATGTTATGTGTATGTACATTTATATGTGTGTGTATGTGTTTGTCTATGTGTCTATTTGTATGTATGTGTGTGTCTATGTGTATGTATGTGTCTGTGCACATGTATGTAGGTACCTGCAGAGGAAAGAAGAGGGCATCAGATCGCCTGGAGCTGGAGTTAGAGATGCTTATGGTCGGCCTGGCATGGGTTCTCTGCAAGAGCAGCAGGGGTTCTTAAGTACTGGGCTGTCTCTCTGGCCCCTGACTGTAAACTATTTACCCTATTGCTTTCTTCTGCCTTCCAAGTGCTAGTGTCCAGGTGTGAACTGCCCCATCTGGCCTACATGTCCAGATTTTCTCTATTTCAGTAACTCACATGCTTCCTAACTTTTTCTGTGGCCAGTTAACACCTTAGCTATTAATTATTGTTTCTTTGCTATTAATTTTTGAAAACATCTGAAATATGCTCACTCTCGTGGAAGCAATGTCTATAGAAACATGATTCCAAGCTAGATATGTATTCTGTCTCATCATCCTATGATAAATATAAACAATTCAAAGAAGTTTGACAGGCTGGTGAGATGGCTCAGCATGTACAGCACCCACTGCCTAGCCTGATACTCTGAGTTTGATCACTGGCATTTACATGGCAGGAGAGACTTGATTCCTGAAAATAGTTCTCTGACCTCCTCATGTGTGCTGTAGCATGCATACACACACACACACACACACACACACACACACACACACACACACACACACACACACAGAGACAGAGAGACAGAGAGACAGAGAGAGTGCTAAACATTGCTCATCTGTTTGGGGGATGGCTCAGCAGTTATGAGCGCTGGTTGCTCTTGCAGAGGACCAGAGTTAAGTTCCCAGGACCCACATAGTACAGAACTATCTGTAACTCCAGTTCTAGGATATCTGATACCCTCTTCTGGCTTCCTTGGACACCTGCATTCACCTTCACATGCTGCCCACCCCAAGCCACGCATATAATTAAAAATAAAACAAATACTAAAAAAATCGTTTGGCTATATGCCATTTTAATTTCTAAAACAGTAGATGATTTCACAAAATTAGTATACTTGTCAGGGAAGCCAAGTGGCCAATGAGTGCATCTAACAGCTTCAGCTGTGACTTTGCTGGAAATGTTCATCATGGCTTCCAGCAAGGTAAACAGATTTTTATATTTATGAAGTAGTTATTTAAGCTAGGAACTCTTGGTTTCATTAAAACATATCTTTAACTTGAGGCTTGAAGTTCTTCTCCTGTCTTTAATAAAAGACAGCATAGGGCCTACAAAACCCAATAACCTCGGATGCGCTTAACACCACAGCTTTCATTCAATATTGATTTGTGCATTAATAAACATTTCAGTTCCTTTGCATCCATTTCAGTGTGAAGTCCACGAACAGCTGTATCTTAGAATAGATTTCTGTATTACATGGTTGGTGACTCTTTAATAATCAGAGGCTGGAGTTAGATGCTTAGTGAGATAGGCGATCGCATTGGATTCCTAGAGATGACTGTGTTTATTAACTCCACCATCACACCCGGAGCATAGGGGCTGGGTGCTGGAAAAGCCACAGAGAACAAATCCCTTGATCTAGGAAGCTTTAGTCTTGTGGGACGAAACCGGTCGTTGCAATTATCCATTTACTGTACTGGAAGTTGAGGAATGCAATATGAAGGAACAAGGTGGGCACGACAGGCAGACAGCTCAGTGGCTTTGAGCACATGGCATGCTGCGGAGGACCCCAATTCAGTTTCCAGCATCCACACCCAACAGTTCACAAGTGCCTGTTACTTCAGCTCCAGGGTATCTGACATTCTCTTCTGGTCTCCAAAGGAAACTACAGGCACAAGCATATGAATACATGCCCATGTATGTGCACACACACACACACACACACACACACACACACACACACACACACACACTCACATAAATAAAAAATAAAAATAAACCATAAAAATAAAAGAACAAGGTGAGAAGTGACAAGGGATGGTGGGGCCTTATTTTTCCAGTGTGGGCAACTTTCCTGAGTGACTATTTGAACTGGAGAAAAGTAAGATAGTGAGCAGGATGGTCCCTGAGGAAAGTGACATTGTAGAAGACAAGATGTAATGGCCCTGAGATGAGTGCTGGGTGTGTCTGTGAGCAATCAAAGATGCCAGCCCAGCCAGGGAAGTCTAAGCAAGGAGATGGTTAGGCAAGCGTGCCACACCACATAGGTTTATTATGTTTCCCCCTTCAAGTGAGCAGGAAGAAGCCCCTGTGGGACCAAAGCCAAGGAGTGACACATTCAGATATGGTTTGAACTGTCCGGTTAGCTATCACATGGCAGACAAGACAAGATATACAGCAGATAAGACTAGAAAAGGGGACCATCCAGAGCCATCATGCGCTGCAGGGTGAATGATGGCAGTGTGTACCAAAGAGGTAGCATTAAGGATGACAGATGCCATTAGATGATGAACACATTCTAAAACACAGAAGACAGCATTTTCTCCTGAAATGGATGTGTCATAAGAGAGAAAATGAAAGGTCTAATGTAGTTCAAAGGTTGGGGGAGGTGAGGTCAGTTCTGGGAAGGATGAAGTTCTGACTGATTGGCAGCCTTATCTCATCTCAGTCTTTCCTGCTTTCTCTCTACACAGGCCTGCTTCCACAGAGCACCTTAACTGCCATCCCTGGCTGGCAAAGGCCACTTAAAATGTCTGCATTCCAAACAGGACCAGATGCTTTCAGCCCACTTTTAGAAAGCTCAACATAACCAGGGCTAAGGCCGGCTTTCTGTTTTTTTCTCTTTTCCAGTTTTTTTCTCTTCTCCTTGGTCCCTAGCTGTAATGATATACAACTGTGTCCTCACAAAGAAACATTTCCCCAAAATGGTCAATAACAAGTAAGACAATTCAACTCAAATTGAGTTATTTCTTTATTTCTTGTCTACTTTTTATTCCCATAAATGTAATCCATTATTTCTCGTATATCTGTCAGGACTCTCCTTTTCATTTGCTTTCTTTGAACCCTGGGAGACTCTACAATTCAAAGAATATGAAGATGCTTGCCGATACACTTCCATCAACCCCAGGCTTATTGCGTGGCTGCCTTCCAGCATTGAGTAAACTACGGTTCAGAAGCTTTCCTGGGTTCACCAGAGCACAGAAGTGGCATTGCTGAGATGTGAGGCTGGAGCTCCTGACTCCCCATGATGCTAAGCTCTGGTTGTGCTGTATTCTCCTGATTCAATGCTTGATCAGCAATCACCACTTTGCTCCCATTCTGCCACCCACTGGCTCCCTAGGAGCTTCCATGGAGAAGAGTGTGATATTGCTGGAGTTGGAGTGTGTATCCTCCATGGAGATCTTCTTGATGCTCCAGCCTGGCTGAGTCTCAGTTCTTGGTGAATTTCTGTGATATTCAAATACCCACACTGGCCAGTGATGTCTCCCTGACTGTGTCCATCCCATCCCATTGCTCTTTTATTCTTCCTCTCTTGGTACCAACAATGTCTGTAATGTTGTGCATTGGAGTCCTTCTCTGATGCTGTGTAGCCTTCCAGGAGTGCCTCTTCCCCCATTGGATGTGATTTCTAAGATGTGGAGATGACTCAGATGGAAAAGGTCCTGTCACCCAGCATGAACATTGGAGTTTAGATTCCCACTACCCATGTAAAAGCCATTCTGGTGAGGTGGCCAGTCTGAAATTCTAGCTGTCTGAAGGCAGAAACAGAGGAGCAAGCTTTTCTAGCCAGATTAGCCAAATCAGTGAGTTCAACTGGGAGAGCCTACCTCAATGAATACAGTGGGGAGCAACTGAGGAAGGTTCCCATTATAAGCCTCTGGCACCCCAGGCTTCAATCTCCAACTGCCACCAGTGTCTGCATACACGCGCATCTGTGTTCACACATATGGAAACATGCACGACACATGCATGCATGCCACACACACAGATAATTGAAGGAAAAATTAGATGTGAGTTCTTTCTTACTGGGTCCATCTCTTGGCATTTGTCATAGCCTGGCGTTGGTACTTAATAGACTGAACTCTTTGACTGTAGCATGTAATGTTTCTGGAAGGCATTTCTCAGTGCTCAGGCCACAGCTGGCTCTAAAGCAGGCACTAGATACACCTTGAATGAACAGAAGGAAAAGACCAGGCTTCTCTATCTCACCCTTTCTTGTAAAGAAGAAAGGAAAATGGATGCTCAGCCTGCCTGGTTTCTGTTGCCTCATGAATTTTCCTCCAGATCCTCAGACCAAAGGTCTGTTATTTTGCCAAATGCGATTCTCCAGGATGCTCCGAGATCTTGCTGAGGCGGGTCTTTGTCTTTCATGAGGCTGTACCAAAGGCCAAGCCAGCAGGGACACACTGCCACCTACCCCAGCCGACTCCAAACTTCATGCAATTTTTATTTGCCTTCTTTGGCCCGGCCAACCTTGCACCGAGCTGACATAAAAATTCAACCCTCTGGCAGCTGATGAATAAAATAACTCCTTGGCCGGAATCCACTTGCACCTTGGGGAGGATTCCAAAGACATCCAGCTGTCTATGCTCAGCTCTCCTCTGAGGGCCCCGTTCCACTTCAGTGCCCATTGGTAATTAGCCCTCTGCCACTGGCTCACCTGGTGAGTCTTTGCTGTAGGGGAGATGAAGGTAGAAGGGTCACAAAAATACCAGGATGGAAATCAGGAGATTAATTCGCTGCCTCTCTCAATGTTTCTGCAAAATGGGATTAAGATGGATATCAATAAATATCTATTGAGTTGTTTCTAGACTCCAATGAAAGAGGTTGAGAGTGGGGGGAAGACCAGGAAAATCTTCTCCAAGCACTTACAAAATAACCCCAAAGCAGGCTCTCTTTGCAAGATTGTCACTAGTAAAGTGAAGTAGAGGAAATGGGAGGAAGTTAGGAGATAGGGCCTAGGACACACAAAGCGCCAAGCACAATCCCAGATACCCGGGAGGTGTCACAGAGGTGACAGACGGGAGTGCTGGTGGTGCTGTTTCTGAAGTCACCAAGTTCTTGGCAAGCTCTCATCAAGGTTGGATGCTTTCTAAATCCTGGACCACACAAGAACTCAATAATCTCTCTCTTTCAGTGTTTATAACAGACGCACCCCTCTCCCCCTGCCCCGCCCCAACCTGCCTGTTCTATTTTTGTGTGGAAACTGAGTGAATTTAAGCTAAGGGATGACACATGTCACAAGTGTTTGGTTAATGATGCATAATTTGCAAGAAATGGAGCTGAACTTTGATCCCCACTCCCCAGGCTAACCCTGGGTGCATCTCTGTCTTGGCTATGAGGAACAAGCAACTGAGGCTGTGTAACCTTGGCACAAATGAATATAACTGAGCTTTCTGCTGCCACAGTTCTGGGGTTGTATATTAATCATCTTCCTTTCCATTTGTAAGGTTCAGTTTCATTTCCTCATCTCCATATGTGAGGTGGCCTAAGGTGGCTTGATTGAGGAATTGTGCTGTTCCACAGAAATGTACAATTTTTGAAGCTCATTTTGTTCAAATTTGTCATGTCATAGAAGAAGAAGTCACCTCTAATTGAGTGCTTTGTGACGAGCTGGTGATAACACCAGGTCTGAGACTGTTCTCTTCTGACTGTGTTCACAGGGCAGATTTATGTTAGATGATGTTAATGTCCAGTTCAGGACCTACGGGTCCGTACTGACTTATTGCTGTGTGCAAACGTGGTGTTAGGTTGGTTACTGGAGTGAATCAATGCTTTATTCCTTGGCAGGTGACTTAGATTGCATTACAGAAAGGGTCTGAGGATGTACTGAGAAATTCTGTAACTCTTGGAACTAGAAATCCATTACAGATTTTTTTCCAAGACAATGTGGAAAAAAAGATAATTCTCACTGAAAATGTCATTATGAAACTCATTGCTTTGTACAATGAATATATACCAATAAAGACTTTTTATAGCTTACTTTTGGAGCTGAAGAGGTAGTTCATCTCTTAAGCGAGGATGTGGGTTTGGCTCCCCACAACCACATGGAGGCTCACAACTGTCTGTAACACTAGTTCCAGGAGATCTGATGCTCTCTTCTGGCCTCCATGGACACATGTGTGCATGTGGTCTTCATATATACACTCAGGCCCACAGACATATGTGCAAATATATTAAAGTAAACCTTTAAAAGAAAATTTTACTTTTTACTAAGTATATGCATGTGTGTCTATATATGGGTTTGTGCATGATTGGTATGGTGCCTGCAGAGGCCAGAAGACAGCATCCATCGGATGCCCTGGAATTGGAGTTAAAGGTAATTGTGAGCTATGTGATGTGGGTGCTGGGAACAGAACTTGGGTGCTCTGCAAGGAGCAGAATGAATTCTTAGCTGCTGAGCTATTTCTCTAGCCCCTAATATATATTTTTAAATAAAGTGATGCTTTATAAAAGCCAGAGGAAAAGGCAATTCCCATCATAAAGTGGGAGAAGCTAGAGGGGTAAGGTCTCATTGACCCCTGTGGGTCTGAGGTTCTGGGGGAGGTAGGATGCCAGCTCCATCCATTCATGGTTTGACAATGGGATGCACAATCGCATTGAAAGGACAGACACTATGGTTTCTGATATTATTTTTGTCCTCACTGAACCATGTAAGAGCCATCAGAAAAACACTGATTTTCACTAAAAGCTTAACAATGATTCTCTCTTCCACGACTCTATCCCTCACCAATGGCTGTTTCTGGATATTTTTCTCTTTCCTCTCTTCAATGGCATCCTAATCATGATGACGGTAGTTTAAATAAAGCAGTAATAATGACTCACAGGAAGCTCTCAGAGAGAGGAAAAGACGCTGTGTTTTTCACTCTTGGGGTCTGGCAAGGATGATTTCCCTGTTGTTGACTTACATGAAATAGCTTATTGAATAGGATGGTGACGGCTTGGAGGAAAGTCTAATGTACATGAACAGTGGAGCAGACATCTGGAAACGTTGCTGGGCTGTTTACTGGAAGTGGAGAAACATATACTTTGGATTGAAGCTACCGCTAGACAAAGGGTGCCTAACCAATATTGCTGGGCGGGCCTTGCACACACTGCTGTGGGCGAGCAAGCAGAGCTGGCGCGGAACTGGACAGAACCCAAGTATCAGCGCATAGCCATCTGGAGGATTCAGGCCTTCAACAATGTGGCAATCAGATTCTCTTAAGAACTGATTGCTGGGTTGTTAACTGGGAGGAGCTCTGAGCAGTGTGTCTAATCACGGCCTGACAACAACTTCTAGTAAATAAGGACATCGGATGGAAAAACATTGAAGACGTCAATCTGTGTCTATTGTGTTAGAAAAGTTCAGTGGCTTACCCCTTCCTTCCTGAGCTTTCCACCCACAGCCCTGTCCAGTGTCTACCTTCTTTCCACAGTAAACTCCTCACTGGATCCTGTTTGCAGAAGGGTACCAGTGGCTTAGAGAGCAAGGCTCCTGACCTCTCTCTCATTCTCTCTTCTAATTAGTATAACTTAACTTTACAAACAAATAGTGGACTTGTATCATATCTGTTCCCACCCCTTCTACCACTATTTTTCATTCCCCCACTTTGTGGTGATATTGTGTTCCCCAAAATATTGTGCACCCTAATAAACTTATCTGGGGTCAGAGAACAGAACAGCCACTAGACATAGAGGCCAGAAAATGGTGGCACACATGCCTTTAATCCTGGCATTCCAGAGGCAGAGATCCCTCTGGATCTCTGTGAGTTCAAAGCCACACTGGAAACAGCCAGGTGTGGTAACAAGAGCCTTTAATCCCAGGAAGTGATGGCAGAAAACAGAAAGGTGTATAAGGAATGAAAACCAAGAACTAGAGCTGGTTAAGCTTTTCCACTTTTAGTAGCAGTTCAGCTGAGATTCATTTAGATGAGGACAAAGAGGCTTCCAGTCTGAGGAAACAGGATCAGCTGAGGAAATGGCAAGGTGAGGTGGCTGTGGCTTGTTCTGCTTCTCTGATCTTCCAGCATTCACCCCAATACCTGGCTCCAGGTTTGTTTTAAATAATAAGACCTTTTAAGATTCATGCTATACCCCCTCTTATCCTTCCCCTCTCAAATCCCTAGTACATCCTTCTGTAGTTTCTTATCCATTTTGTTTTGTTTTCCCAGCTTCCAAGTGGAGGAGAAAAACCTGTAATATTTGTTTCTGTAGGTCTGGCTTATTTCACGGAACATGAACCTTTAGTTCCATCCATTTTCCTACCAATGACAGAAGTTCGTTCTTCTTTGTGACTGAGCAAAACTCCCCTGTGTCCATGTACCACATCTGATCCCTTCATCCTTTGGTGGGCTTTGAGGTTAATTTCATAGTCTGGCCATTGTGGATGGCACCATAGTAAACATGGCTGCTCTTTTACAGGCCAGGGGACAGCAATCCAGGACTGTACTGTGTCAACCTATGGGTAGGTAAACTCAGAGCCTGGTCAGCAGACCCACTTTCCTATATGGTGAAAGGAGCTGGGTTTAAAACAAGTGCTTCCTAAATTTAATGTTAATCAGGGCCCATCCTGACAAAGCTGGCCTTAGGGAAATTTCAGTCTAAAAAAGGGTATTCATGATGATTGTGACAAATTAAAACCACAGGAAAATATGACCCCCGGACTGGAAATGTGGCTCAGAAGTTGAAAGCATGTATAACTCTGAAGAGGAGGACCTGAATTTAGTTTCTAACACTCAAGTCCTGTAGCTCACAACCAACCAATCCCCAGTTAACTCCAGCTCTTGGGGATCTGATGCCCTCTTCTGGCCTCCAGGAGCAACTGCACTCATGTGCACAAACCCACACACTAGCAGGCACACACAGACATGAAATTAAAAATTAAAATTGAGAAAAGGGAAAATATGAGCTATAGGATCTTGATCTGAGACAGACAGACAGAGAGAGAGAGAGAGAGAGAGAGAGAGAGAGAGAGAGAGAGAGAGAGATGGAGAGAGAGATATGGAGAGAGACAGAGACATAGAGTTTAGTGGAGACACAGAAAGCACTGGGCAATTCATTTCAATTACTTTCTGATGACATCTCACATTGAACTTTGTTACACAGACATGGATTTCCATTCCTCATTTTGCCTCGAGAAAGCAAAGTGTCCTGAATACTTCCTGTCATTTATCCTTTCTCCTCCTACTAGCAATGAAGCAATGTCTTTATTGTTTATCTCCCTTTTTTTGCAGCAGGAATTTATAATGCACATTTGAATATAGAGGGAAACGTTGACGTTAGAGTACTTATTCATTGACTAAATTGACACAGATTTATTGTGACTGCAGGTTGGTGTGCTGACATCCATTCTCTCAAGCAAAATTACCTTATCAAAATACAAACTAGAAAGAGAAATTTCCCTATCTAATTTTCTATCCTTTGGAGAAACCATTGCCGGACCTTCTGATACGGTGTGCTGAGGAGTTCTGAAAGTAATTATCCCACCAGGAAAGTGAGCTCTGAATAGCTTGTGGGTTGAGAAAAGAAAAATGTCAAGGGAGAATATCTGATTTTCCAGGGAGAAGTAAGACAGGTCTCCTTTGTGAGCCTCTAATAGCCGGGCTGGACTAAGCCATGTACGTCTGGGATTTATTGGCACTTGAGGATATTTGTATAATCAGCTGTCAGATATGCCCAAACTGTAGTATGTGTTGGAATAACCAAGCAGACTTTCTAGATGCATACTGATAGCCACAAGCCTGGTATTTCTGATTTAGTAAGTCTGGGCATAAAGTTGGGATTTCTATGGAGTCTTAGTTTAGGCTAATAATGTTGACCCAAAGACTACACTTTGGAAAAATATATTGTATAGTGCTTTAAAAATCCCTTTCATATTAACTATGAGCTTTGTTTGTCAGACAAGCTTCCTTCAAAATAAGAGAGGCTGGTGAGGTTTCTTTCTCTTTAAAATTTTATTCATGGTGTGTGTGTGTGTGTGTGTGTGTGTGTGTGTGTGTGTGTGTGTGTGTGTAGTATGTACATGAATGCAGTGCCTCTGGGGCCAGAAGAGGGTGAGGTCATATTTTCGGCAGTTGTGAGCCACCCAAAGTGGGTGCTGGGAGCTGAATTCAGTTCTTCTGCAAGAGCAGTGGATGCTTTTAACTGTTGAGCCACCTCTCCAGTCCCTGGTATGATTTCATCTATGTTGTACCTTGGGGAAAAGATGCTGAGGTTAATTTGCTGACACGCACATTAAACACGCACATCAGTGTTGGAATGCTTCTTGAGATCCCTCGTTCAACCCTTGGGTTAATTTAATGTGGCAACATCTCTTTCTGATAAGATCCATATAAGGCCAAGGAACAGGGTATGAGGTAATCTTCATTGAAAAGTATGTAGGATTTAAGTTAAGTATAAATTCCTTTGCTTGGCATTCAAGATTTTCATGATTCATCCCCAGCCCAACTCTTTGCTCTTATATCCAAACAGTCTCTATTCTAAGCATCAGTCTAACTGGACCTTTGTCAAATGAAGCTGATAATTTTCTGTGTTTAACCAGGAAGTTGTGCCAGCCATTGCCTCCATCTCTCCTCAGTAAAATGATGTTTCTCAACACTCAGTTGATTTAGCACCTCCTCTGTATCACTTCCCACATAACTCCGCTTTCACCCCAGCCAGATGTGGCTGCTTCTCTTTCTTCTCATAGAAGATGCTGCAACCATATTTGTTGATGAATAAAAGCAGAACATTGTGGAAGGAAGGCTGTGTACATTTTGGGATGAGGGTAAGGAAGGGGTGCAGATTAGTGGGAGAAGCTGGTGGTGGATTTTCATGTTGACATCCTTTTTATTTGCTGTTATTTTACTCTTACAAATACTGACTTTAGTTGTCAAGATTTCTAATTAATATGCATGGATAATAGCTATATGTTTACAGGGTACCATATGGTTTCAAAACCAAGTCTACTTGGTACATATCAAATGCCATTGTGGAGTGATTGAGTCAGGCACTGACAATAT